GAAGTTATTTAACAAATCTGAATATTCCAGCGGAAAATATTGTCGCGTATTGGGCGTATATCGCGACAAATAACTTCACGCCGTATTTGATGTAGCGAATTTTATTTCACATTCGCACTTACAATCACCCAAATTACAGATTTACGATTACTGCTATCTGCAGTATCACAAATAGTACACTCCAAATGCCAGAATACAACTGACTAGTAGCTGGCTAACTCGGAGGTAGCTCGAGGACTCACTGTGAATAGCCTTCGCTGCTCCTCATGTACCCTCGATCGGACAATACAGAAAACGGCCACTTAATAAGCACCCTTGTTGCCTGGCGCTGTGTTGCTAGCAACGCTAGCGGTAGTAACCGCTGTTACTACCGTCGTCTCTCGCAATCCTGTTGCGTCACCGTTACGTTACCGTGCGGAGGAGGGGGGGGGAGCGCTGACTCACCCGCCGCGTCACTGCTGGTGNATCATCTGGGACTGGTACAATAGGCCAGAAGTGGCCGAAGTACAAGGAACCTAGTCCCACCCCACTTGCAATAAAATAATTAATGAGACAATAAAAGGTAATGGCAAAAAATAAAAGGTAAATCTTTCCCTGTAACAGACAGTGAAAGCCCATATGACTGTGACACGTCGACGCTCCCACATTTTCTCGACAATCGGTTCACAGATGGGGTGAAGTTGTCAGCCTTGCGCGCCGGCAGCTATTTACACCCAGGAAGATTCCTGCTACTCATTTCTGTTAGAGGCTGAGTATACCCCAGGGTCATAGTACGGCTAGAACGATTAAGTAAACTGAAAAAATCCACCTCATAGGGACTCGAACCTGCGACCGTCCGGTTAATAGCCTAGTGCCTCAACCAGCCACGCTACCACGTGCAGATGGAACAACACAAACAGAAAAAAACAGACATACATGCATGCCCGGAGGATGATTTGAACACACGATTCCAGTTTTCGAGTGGTAGAAAACACTACGAGCTTTTGATCGTACGGCCACTGTGATCAGCTACGTGTTATTCTACGTAGACTACCAAATCCTATGTAGGGTGAGCATTAACGACGAAATTACGTTTAAGCTTCTTGTGAAGCAGGGTTTATACTGCCCCGATATGAAATAAAATCAAATATATTTAACAAATCCAGCGCCAAACTCTATCAAAATGCGTTCCGTCCTTGCAGCATACGGACGGACACTGCCTGCAATATATGTATTTACTTCGATTTATTACATTTATTTATTACAAAGAATGCATGACTGCAATGAAATTGAACTTTGTACACCGAGCAGACGCAGCCTGCCACTCGTCTTACAATTTATACGGCCGTCTGTGTTCACTTGGCAACGATGCTGCGTAAGATCTCATTTATTACCCTCAACTGTTGGCAACATAAGACAGACAGAAACGAAAGAGGTCACAATCGTTTCCGGTCGTCTAGCTGCTAGACTCTAGCGTATGTAAAGAAACTCCCGTAAGGAAGCAGTCCATCTCTTGGGTACGTAAACAGAGTCTGTTAACTAGATCAAGGAACAAGAAGATAACCTGGCTCTCTCGTGGCATATCCCTTTATCTCTCTGTAGGTTATTTAACGACACTGTCAGTACTCAGACTATTTAAATAGCTGACTAGAAATAACTTGGAATAAAGCGGTCCTCGACTATTCTAGGTACTACTGTCCTGGCTTCTCTGGATGACTGAGGAAAACCACGAAACCCTCAGCCAGGATAACGGATATCCCGACCAATATTAGATCCGAGTACAGGTCTACAGCTGGGGCACGCGGTAGTGTAGTTGGTTGACGCACTATGCTAGAAGCCGGAATGTTGTGGGATCGAATGCCGATGAGGTCATTGATCTTTTTTTTTTCAATTTATATAATCCTTCCAGCCGCACTATGGCCATGCGGTCGACTCAGCCTCTAAGAGAAGTAAGTATCAGGAATCTTCCTGGGGTAAAGGGCGGCCGGAGTGCAAGGCTGACAACCTTACCGCCATCTGTGAACCGATTATCTAGAAAATATGAGAACCTCAACATCTCACAATCATATGGGTCTCCACGGCCTGTTACAGGGATACCTTTACTTCTTTTCACAGGTCTACAGCGTAATCTGTTGGGCGATCTGTTGAGAACTTTTCTGTTCTGCATTTTTCTTTCGACCATTCTTGTGAATACTTCGGAAAGGTGTGTTAAAATATTATATAGGTGTTAAAATTGTCTTATTTGGTCTAGCGTTATTTTCCTGCGTTTTATCAACTTCTGGGGTTAGTAGCTTTCAACGAAAAGAATTCATGAATCCGGTAGGATGTTGCAGAAAGCTCTGTTATCCCAGTATAAGACTCGAAGGACCAGATAACCCATGTAACATTTTGCCTGCCGAAATTCCATCTACTCTTACAGGCCTCCACATTGCGAGTGCGCCTCGCAACGCTGCGCCAAACCATTGGGTAATATGTCGTTCTGGATAATTGCATTATGTTGTAGAAGCCTACAGACCCTATGTTTCTTTAGAGTCTCTCACATTTTTCACTTTAAATTGAGAAGACAGGTCGAAATGATTGGAAAGAAATTTTATTGTATAGTTCTCTTATTTCAAAATGCGTATTCTTTTAACGCTTTCATATGCGATTTACAGCTACAGAGAAGTGTGCAGTTTAATAGAGCACATATCAATTGTTCATTTATGTTATGTAACTTATGTATGAAGTGTTAAGTGCGAACAACAAAATTTTATTGCTTATTCGATGCCTTCCACACTTTTGAGCACCGTTATTAAGGAAGTTATTTACGGAACCAAGAAATTTGTTTAAAATTACTTGCGCTGAGGGCATGGCCACTGTTCGTTCTGCAACTCTGTATAAGGGCACCTAGTGTGGTTGTATTTTGATGTAACTCGTATTAAAACACAACTACGTTACAATTAAAATGAGGTGATTCATCACCACACCTACGTATTGACCTTTTGACACCCGAAGGTTATTACATAGTTATTCACTAGAGGGAGTCGGCGAATAAATAATATAGATCATGGAATAATTGTATAATGCAGACGAAACATATCAGAACTTTCAATTACAACAATGGCTTCGTTCCTGCCGGCCCTGTTCGAGCCATTTCTGCAATTTCTGCAATCCCTGTCGTGTTGGCTAAGGAATTCGCGAAAATGGAACTTTGTGTGTTCCATTATCTTCATGCGGAAAATAATAAATTTCAGCAACTTCCGTAACTCTGTTATTCCTAGATCTACAGAGGTACCTACTTGCCATATTTCGAGTTCATCGAGATATTATTGAATGATTCATAAGTATTAATTGTTGGCATCCTCTGAATGAATCATTCTGCATATTTACCATGATCATGTAATTTTTTTCTCTAACAGAATCAACCGACTGGAATTTGTAGTAGTGACTCAGTATGACATCTATGAGGCAGGAGTTAAATTTTTAAATATTTTAGAATAATTTCACGGTATATTTACTAAGCAGTTAATCAGAATTAAACTCTTTGCTTCAAGGACCTAAAATTATTTCTTGAAATAATGCAACTCTCAGTTAATGAAGAAACCAAAATTCTCCCTCCTTATCCACCTTGTTTCTGCAAAATAATTCTGTACCACTCGGGTACGTAGTACTGCGCAGGTCCTGGATAAATTCCGCAATCGAAACAGATGTACCGGTTAATCGGTTTGGTAGCGTGCCTTCGCAGTTTCTGTATCTCGACTGCAATGCGGGCTGGCGCCCCTTACTCATATAGAACCATTATGTTGGAGGCAAAACCGTCTCCAGGAGGAAGATTACTCTGTTCTGGAATATAGCTCCGTGTTATCCGTTGAAAGTCAACTGAAGGTTCTGAGGAACACACCACCTCCGTCTTTAGGGTCGAAGAATAAGGAAGCTATGCTTATTTCCTGTTTCTCTTGCTCGGATTATTTTCGGACCCTGAAGATGGGGGTGATATTTTGCTCTGAAATGGTCTATACGGCGTTATATCCGGAAAGATGACCGCTGCTGTGAGGACATAATATCCTACACAGTCTCCAGAAAGTCGTATACTAAATACAGCTTCACAAGACTGATCACTCGAGAAGAATTTCTTTCAGAACAACCTGTGTGGACTGCCCTTGCTGTATAATTGTATGATTCCTTCAGTTCTTGGAGTAAAATACTCTTCAGAGATTCGATGTATACTTCCAAATATATATCGCATTGTGTTTTTTGCCGTCAACACAACAAATTTTCAAAAAACCAATTCATTATCACTGCACTAAGATTGGTTTTGAAGAAAGTTGTCTTCTGGGTTTAGGCACCGTGTATATGTGTAAACGTGTAAACCGTGTAAACGAAGAATACACGGTGCCTAAACCCAGAAGACAACTTTCTTCATTGTCATCGCCGTGAAAACCTCAAAATTTACAAAGATTGATTTTGTTTAGCGTCTGCTACATATTTCGTTCCATGTTTGGATCATCAGCAGGCACTTTCTTAAATACGAGTTTCTTATTGAATTATTTTAATATGGATCCATATTACTTTAGATATACTTTGATTTCTATATCTCATTATAACATGTTGATATTTTTCATACCATAGATATTTTGGTAGTTCTATATGTATGTCTTCCTGATAAGAAAATCAGGAAGACATATATGTAGAACTAGTAGCAACGTTTATAAACGAGCGATAACTCATAACATGTAAAACTAACATTAACAACGATTACCAGAAGACTTCATCACCCTCTAATATATGGCAAGCATCACGGAAACCCACATAATGTCGACGAGACATAAACACTAATTTAAATAATTTTAGCCCTGAGGTTAACTATATTATCAGGAATGCCAATATATGTTATGAAGAGAAATAGAAACCAAAGGATTTTTAAAATAATACTAATATGGATCGACATTAGGACAATTCAATAGCCCACACGCATTTAAGAAACTGCCTGACGATGATCCAAACATGAATCGAAACAAACTATCACTAATGGCTGCTCTCACCTAGTGATGCTATGTGGAGAGCAGTGTTGCCCTTCTTCGTGGCTGCATCGACAACAGCGCCTCGTTTCAGCAGCTCGGTCACCACATTAACGTGGCCGTCTTTGGAAGCGAGATGCAACGCGTTGAGTCCATTCTGAAACAGAGTTCAATGTTTATTCAAACACTGCACACTTTAATGTCATCAGAGAGCGACAAGAACCATGGTTCTCGATCCTACAAGCTGTGTTCTACAGTACAAAAATAAAAATTTGTATTCTGAAGATGAAGCTGAATCCAGAGACAGCAAGCAGAATGGGGCATAAACCATTGTTTTCCCTGGGCACTCACGACGGCCAGTTGAGATCATTCCCGGTCAAGGAGAACAGTGCTATTGTTGTAATGGAACTCTATGTGTTTGTAATTAACAAATAGAAACTCTAATGAGGCCACAACATTCACAGTGAGCACTACCAGTGATAAGTTTACAGGGGTGACCTCTGATTTAGGTTTGGTAATTATCCAGCAAAGCGGTTGGTGAAACACATACATGAGTAAGTGTAAGTGACAGGTATACCAATCGAAACAACACCAACAAAAAATTGACAACGAGCCTGGAAAGCAGGAATGCGAAATAAAATATTGTGACAGGGCACCTGAAAGCCAGAATATTCCCGTCTGCTAGGCGGCGCTTCTCTGAGCACATTCCCATGACAAAGCGGAAAATTAATTGCTGGATAACGGTTTCTTGGTGAACAAGCATTATCGTGGCAACGGATACGCAGATAACAAGAGACGAAACGTTCAATTGTGTATTCTGTCTGCGGTCCGCAAAGGGCCATGAAAGGACACGTAATTGATTCGCAAAGTCAGTCGTACTAAGTAGCAGAAGACTAAAAACCAGTCCGAGAACCAGAGGAAATACAGTGAGAGATTCGTTATCAAGAAAGGGTTCAACGTGTGAACTGTTTTAATCAACTGTAATTGTAATAGAGACGTCAAATAAATCCAGTCATCAAACCGAGACCCCATAAGTATTAGTCACGCAACTCCTTTTACGTGACGACATAAAAAAGAGGAACCAGCAGGAGGCGAGCAATTGCACAAGACAAAGTCAAAACATAACTTTAGGATAACAGGCTCGAATAAAATTTAGAAAAAAAAAACACTCAATCCTCAGTCCCAAGCTAAAAGACGTCCTTCCAGGAACCCCAAGGACTCTGCTACAGCTATAGTTGTTATCATCTCTGAGACTAAGTCGTGAATGCCTAATATGTAAGTAAGTAATATTCCGTTAAACTGCACAATGAGGAGCTTCATAACCTGTACTCTTCTCCAAGTATAAGTAGAATGACCAAATCAAGGAGGATGAGGAGGGCAGGGCAGGTAGCACGAATGGGGGAGACGATGAATGCATATAGGTTAATGGTGGGAAAGCCAGATGGATAGAGACCACTGGGAAGACCAAGGCGTAGGTGGGTGGACAATATTAAAATGGATATTAGAGAGATAGAATGGGATGGTATAGATTGGATTGATCTGGCTCAGAATAAGGGTAAGTGGAGGGCTCTTGTGAACGCGATAATTAACCTTCGTGTTCCAAAAAATGCTGGGAAATCCTTGAGTAGCTGCAGAATTGGCGGCTCCTCCAGAAGGGCTCAGCTCTATGAGTAAGTAAGTAATATTCCGTATAAAATGCCATAATGGAGAAAGCGCACAGAAAGAAACCTTCCACGTTCCACCAAAGGAATAAGAATAGTTATTTATAGAGACAAATTAAATTCTGTGATTAATATGTCCCAAACATGTTCTGGATTACGGAAAACTGTTTAAACGAAATTTAAGCTGTCATGCACACTCCTCGCTTGCTTTCACATCTGTGTAGTCCACCACATTGCACAAATACGCATTTTCGGTAAAGCGAATTATAAGCCACTTTGTATAGAATAATGAAGTTATTGCTACAAGAGTAATGTAATATCAGTGACAAAGTCGTCATTGCTTTACGATGTAAAACAAAGCTTCCTGACCTCATAGTCACCCCTTTACAAACTTGGAAGCCCCTCCCCAGGCAGTATGACCCTCAACCGTTTTCCCCTTCATCACTGCACGGTTGCTATGGAAACGAAAATTACGAAGAATTGATTGTTGTTCTGTCGCCCTAACTACTTGTCAGCGTGTCAATGATTGTACAGTCCGTGTCCTGAGACAGTGAAGTAGCTTTGGTTTAAACCTGATAGCAATGAAATACTGTGTATTCTTTCTCGGTCTGTTTAGCAAAGATGTACCATATGTGTGAGACTCTGCGTTCTCACTGCAATGACTGCGAATAATACAAAATTCTGGGAATGACACCGTCTAGTCAGGTGGATGCTTGCCAATATTTACGGCCTCCAGCATCGGAAGCTAAGAGTAAGCCAAGCAAGTAGGCACATATCCATCCAGAAGATCATCACACGTGTGTTAGACTACAAGGCGTCACATTTCGTATTGTATTTTTCCTGTAATAACTGGTTAAAGATTGGAGATGACTCGTATTGTGAAGTGCCATATGCCGAGAAAGTATACATAATGTGTGTTAACATATCCAGTCTCGACCTAAATATAAAACACAAGGAAATTAGAATGGTTGAGCCAATGATAACGCTGAATATACTCGTATGCCGTAAATTGACATTAGTTACTACAACTCGAGGTCCGAAATATGATCTGAAATTATGTATAAACTTGACTATTTACTACATATAATTTAGTCTATGCAAGGTAGTGTTTCTTAAGATTTGCCTCTATATAATTTCATGACCTCCTGCTCTCAGTTCATTACGATAAAACCAGAAGAAAAGAGCAACAGACGAGAGTTTCAGTCGGGATTATAGTGTTGCTAGTCTGCATTAAAGTAGGCCTATCAACTTTTGCAGAAGAAGGTATTTTTATGCAATTATTGTTATAGTTATAATAATAAATAATATTATTTCTCAGGGGCACGCGGTATCGTAGTTGGTTGAGGCACTATGCTACAAGCCGGAAGGTCGCTGATTCGAATACCGATAAGGTCACTGGGATTATCAATTTACGTATCTAATTCTTCCAGCCGCATTATGGATCTGGTGTCGACTCAGCCTCTATCAGAAATAGGTACCAGGTATCTTCCTGGGGGTAAAGGGCGGCCGGTGTATTTGACAACTTCACCGCCATCTGTGAGCCGATTGTCTAGATAATGTTGGATCCCAGAAGTTTCACACACCTGTGGGCCTCAGTGGCCTATTACAAGGATAGCTTTGACTTTTACCATTATTATTTCTCTTATAACTTATTTGTAGCCTTACTTTCAAATTATTAAAATATTTTTAGTCAACATAAGCATGTGTACTTTTTCCTTAACCGCAAAATATTCGCGTGATTGCAATTTTGCATTATTATTGTCTCGGTGAAAAAAAAAAGTTGCCTTGTTTTTTCTTGCGTTTCTTTGGTGTGAGCTCGCCTTTTTTCCCCCCATAATTTTGACACTACTTACTTTATAACTTACCTTTGGCCTGTTAGATAAACACATAAATAAATAAAGAATTGAATTTCAATTAAACTCATTCTTTCAAGCTCTCTGTACAGAATTTTCAAATTCATAGCATAAATATTCACTGAGATCGTGAATTCGAAGTTACCTTAAGAGCTAAAATATTTGAGAGTAAATCAATGGAAAGGTTTTGTGCGTGAAAACAGTATCAAGGGATGAATACTCTAAAATGTTCTCCTTAAGTTTTCGACTGATATTGAAGAAATCGCGACTAGCTCAATTGAGCAAGTTTTCTTTTGCAGTGAGTATATGAAGATAGCCCAGGAGCCCGACGTCCGTATAGAGGGGATGAGAGACACTTTTGCATATTCTTATTCATAGGTTGCGACAGGGTCTCTCTTACCCATATAAGCCTGGGAGAAAAGTCCAAACAAAATTTAGAAATACATGATTCCAAGGCCCAATTTTGCATCCAGCTTCGCAGGCCGAGGGGGAACAATTCAGAGAGAAGCTAGTTAGGTCTTCATTCCAGAACATGGAAGGGGAAGGGAGTCACGTGATAGATAGGATGATGGGATATTATGCGGTAAACATGTCATAACTAGGACGTCTGGGTGGGGGGGTTAAAGACAAGGACTATACCGGTCTGAAGGCACCACATCTGAGCCATCGAATATATTACATGGCTCAGATAATAGTTACCCTTAAGGCTGACATTCAGGTAGGAGGCCTACCGATCTCGGGCGATATTCGTAACATTACAACCAACTGCTTCTAAAAGAATACGGCGCTATAATAAAAAAAAAATGAATCATTTGAAGTACAGTGATTACGTACCATCTGTTTTAACACCTGAAAACTACTGATCTGGTCCGTAGAATGTATGTATGTATTTTATATGATGGTCACAATCTTTTACCTAAACATTATTAAAGGACTGGGCCTTCTAAATAGGATGGGGTTAATTTCTGTGTGGTAGGAACTGAAATTTTAAGGCGAAATTCGTGCCTCTGACGGACAATATAGATTTATATTTTTCGGGCAAAGTCTAGAGGAATTCATCAAACCTACTTATATATTAAATATCACAATCTTGAAATGTAAACGATCGAAGAACAATGTATTTGATTGTGTGTCTATGTGAGTGAACATTTCATATATTATCATTGAAACAAAGTACAGAGAATACAGTTCTTTAGACACGTTACGTTTAAGTTGTGGAAAAGAAAGGACCTAAAAATGAGAAAAATTGAATGAGGAAAGAAATTCAGAAGATCAAATGTTTCTCAATTGAACAATAGAAATAGAAATACAGGGGACTGAAAAAGGTGGTAAATTCTAGATAAAGATAACTATACCTTAATGGGCCCAGATATTCTTGGTAAAAGTAAAGTGAGAAATAGAAAAACCAAATTCTGACATAAGTCAAGAAGCTAAAATGTACCATGTGACAAGATTATGTGCAGATCCATTCTACTTAAGCGAAGGTACGGAGGGGTGAGTGAGAGTTTATAGACACATTATTTTCTATAGTTCGATAAAAGCCAAGATATTATATTCTTTATGAAATTCCACATAATACTGTATTAAATGAAATCACAAATTTTCCAAACAGCAGAGTAGCTATATTGACCTAATATAACCGA